CGGGGGGGGGGGGAGGGGGAGGGTAGTTATGGTAGGTTATCCAAATCTGTTCTGTTCGTCTCGTTACCCAAATGAAGGTGGACTATCAATGAGATGGATGCTGCTTTGTGTATACATTGCGTCACCCTCGTAGCCTGTAATGCGTGAATTGCTCCAAAAAGGAATAAACGTTAGAATTTACTGTTTCATGCCATACATACCATCATTGTTTTAGGTCGTCAACTGTAAATATAACAATAGAAGACTGAAGTGAATCTATCGAAAATTGGAACAAACCGTATCTAACTAATGGGAAATTAGAAAGAAGTGAGTGTAGTTGATCAGTGTGCGTTTTCGCACCAAGAACAAATTCCGTCTTTGTACCTACCCCCACGTGCTTAACTCTGTCACTTGACCTCGGTTTCCAATTTTGTATGGGCGCACTTTTTCCTCGTCCCGCCATTGCTCGCCCCAGCGTTAAACGCACACAAAGAAAGTGCATTTCGAGGTCGCTGTGTGAAGGTCAAGCGCCTGTTACCGTCTATGACCTCCCACCCCCGCTCATGTCTTACAGTTTAAGTCAACGTTAGTGACTTTTACGACAGTAGTGCTCGAAATAAGTTCTGTCCGCAATCAGGCGCAAATGCGGTTGACCAGGTTCGCTACAGCCTACACATCACAGAAGCACGAATGCAGGTTTTCTCTGGCCTAATCACTGTTCATTGTGAGTCCATCTATCAAATATTTTCCGTCTGCAGCAAGATTAAATCAGACCGATTCTGCAGACTGATAGACACGTTGAATTTGATTATTTCGTTCATTTTGCTCTACGGTCTTAGTTGGCACTTAACTGTTGTTCTTATACTCCTTCCTGTAGTCTCCTCTGAAGATAAACGCATACCAAACATCCTACGACCGTATGGATTACGTTTTGGAAAGCGGTGATAAGAGGGGAGCAGCACTTTGTGTCCACGGTGTCGGGGAAATCATCACAAAAGGAATAATCGACTTTGTTTGGTCATTATTGTAATATAGGGTTGATTTGATAGAACAATCCGATCGATAAAGTGGAAGCTAACCATTGGCTGTGGGAAAACATCGAGGAACTTGACTAAAACAAGTTTAGAATTATCCTGAAATCGACTGATTTCCTCAGACAGCTGACCGATTTGTGATAGGAATGACTGAACTGTCGCATGAGTCTGACTGCCACGGTGTGGGTGATCCCGGTTGGCAAACGCTAGATGCACACTGTCAGCCGGCGGGCGGTGAAACCGGTTTAGAACACCAGGTTCACTGCCACAGCTCCTTCCTGGATGGCAGAAAGATCGAAGTCAAACTAGCACATTCCGAGGAAAATAACTTACACTTGTTGTCAGAAAGCTCTACCAGTTAAACCGCTCGCGTTCTAAATTGGTAACAGTGATTCGTGCGTGCAGTTTAGATCCAAATCACCTCATTCACAAGAAAGGTGGATGATAACCGTGTGCCTCAGTGTGCTAGGAAGACGGGGAAATCAGAAATATCCCTCTTTTTTATTCACTTTACTGGTAACCGGTGATCATCAGGACAACTGCTTTTCTGTTCACAATTAGTACACAGGTCGAATTCGAAAAAGCTAACCTGTCACAGCTAAACTGGACTGAGGAACAGTTCATTGAGATCATGAAACTCATAACGATTATGCCGTTAATTTCCTATTTTCCCACATACATCGGTCTTTTTGAATTAGGTGAGAAAATCCTGACGGTGTTTAAGCAATGGACTGTCAATTAAGCCAGTTGTAGCAGCTTCATCCTCATTCGAACTGAAAGATCTCGCAGTGAATCGTTTGCTTTCTAATGCCATGGTGCGTCTCCCGTGTACAGACTTGAACGGCACCGTACTGGAAAGCATAGTTAGTTGTATGCCACCAGTCACAGCTAGCAAGGGATGCCAACTGGGTGCTTAACTATGAGTAAGGCCAATCTAAGCTCACTAAATCAACGGTGGCGAACGATCGGAATTAGTGCTCTCTGTGCAATAACGATCGCGATCGGCCACCAACTGAAGCCAACATTTCTACCCAGCTCCATCTAGCCGGCATCATTTTCTGGAAGAATCGAACGAAATGCACAAAGGGCCCAAGTGCTACCTTGCACACTACGCTTAGATGTGCAAGGTCGACGGAGACACCTAGATGAGGTTCACCCGCCTACTCCGGACTGCGCGACAGAATGCAAAACCAGCCTTCCAAAATGGCGTTCGCCACAGCGCTCTCCGTTTCCTATTCCCGTGAAACTGCGGATAATAGTCATAGCATCAGCCTGTCTTCTAGCAGGTATATACTAGGTAGTATACGGATAGTTGAACAAAACTTTGTCGCCAGGACGTATACGACCATTTTCACCGTTGCTATGTCATTTTTAGAAACGGGTTTCCGTAAATTTGGTTGATATATCAT